CTTTCAATGGAGTTTTTAATCTCCTGGAAATCTGTCTGCATCTGTTTTATGGATTTCATTTGTTTCCTATGTTGGGATTCCATCATGTTCCTCAGTTCCTCTATTTTTTTTTATCTGTGTCCTCTCTAGACTTATCAATCATGTCTTGCACTATAGGCACAATCTCTGCTGTCATCTGAGAAATTCTTTCTGATTTCATTTTTTCCAGATCCTCTTTTGTTGCCAGTTCAGGGAGTCCAGGTAATTGAGTATCAAATTGCTCCATCTTGTTTCCCTTTGTGATTGCTTTAGGTGATCTGGGAGTCTGGTTTGGAGACTTGTTTAAGTGTCTTCTCATTTCAGCTGTGAGGGTGGGTTAGTGATGTGTGATTCTGGTGCTTGAGTGGCTCACCTCCTCAGCACTGGGGGCACTGGTATGGTGGCCTGGAATGTTCACCTCCTTTGCCCTGGGGGCAGCTCTGCTCCTTGGTGCTGGAGGCAGTGGTACGGTGGCCCAGAAGGTTCTAATTTTAGTAATCTTAGCAGGACAGACAAAAGGAGGTACAGATGGATGGATGTACTCAGGCTGTTATTAAACAAATTTATGTTACAAGTGCTACATTTCATTTTCAAAGCATTAATTGTTATTTTACTTAAATTTTAAAACAAACCAAAGTGAACTTCTTGAACTTCAAATAAATACTCCCTCACCACAAGAGACACATGGCCTAAAGGAAAGTGAAGGTTAAGAAAAGACATTTAAGAGGTCAACATTGCTATCTGTAAACTTAAAAAACACTTATTGATTCTGTGATTTGAAAGATAACATTAGAGCTCTTAAACTTTGTCTCATTTCCTCTTGGCTTTTTCTTTTGTGTAGTCTAGGTTGACACCAATCCCATTCCATTCTGTCCCCATAATACCCATAGTTTATGTAGTTCTGTAGAACTGGCTCCCCTCGTTCTGTATGTTAGTTCTATTTCAGTCTGGTGACCATAACCAGATTCTCCATTTCTGACTCATTCATTCCTATTAATGCCACTTCTTTGCCAAGTAGAGTTTTTGAGGCAGTCCTTGGGTGTTTTAACCCAACAAGCTCGAATGTTTTGGAACAACTACCTGCTTCCTGCATACTCAGACTTCATTTTGATTGAGTGTAGCATACTGGGGTCATATTTTCTGTCTTCTGGAACTTTGTGTATGTCATTCTGTCTTCCTCTTCCTCTTCTTCCTCCTCCTCCTCCTCCTCCTCTTCTCCTTCTCCTTCTCCTTCTTCTTCTTCTGTATAAGGGATCAAACTCGGGTCCTTGCAGTTGTGCAGCAGGTGGTGAAACCACTGAGCTAAATCCCCGGCCCACTCTGTCTTCTTAAGCAGTGCTGACTGCTGTGAAATGTGCTGGGACCACTGTGATACAGATTTCCTCTCCTTCCAGGCAGTTTGTTTCTTCTGCTCTGATACCTGGGAAAACTTTGTCATTGAAGTCAAGGTCATGTCTTGGTGTTCATGATTCTGTGTAAACATTTCCCAGAACATAGGGTACTCTTTTCCTATATAGATGTCCAAATACAGACTCCAAATGCACTTCTTATATATTTCAGGGAAATTTCCTGCACAGTGTGATTAAATTCATCTTCTGTTCCCTTTAATCCATTTTGCTCATGGGGAACTCATTCTCTCTACTTAGGGTGCCTTTATCTTTCACATGTACTAGTTTCTCTCTAGTTGATTTCAGCTCTTTATATTTCTCCTTCACATTTGTTGGGATCACTAACTTTGCGTTTATAGCCATTTTTAGTCATTCTGCTTTGTGGACAAGTCACTGCATTCTGTTTCTTACTATTTCTATCTCTAATTTATTTGCTAGCTCCAAATTTATAATGTTTTAGCTCTTGATCTATGTAGGCCTGGGTTCACTTTTCATCTTATTTTGTTGTTTTGGCATTTCATCTTTGAGTCCAGTTCTAGTCACATTCTTGTCACTGGGACACAATTAATGCCACCCACAGTTTAAAGAAGGAGAGGCTTATTTGGATCATGTTTTCAGTCCATGGTCAGCTGGCTCTACGGCAGGAAGGGCAAGGTAGAAGATTCTGGTGGAGGTCAACTGCTCACTTCATGGTGGCCAGGAAGCAGAGTGAAGGGAGGAGCTAATGAAGGAGACACACCCTTCCAGGTCATGCCCCCAGAGACCCGCCTCTTCTGATCAGACTCCACCTCCAAACAACACACTTACCTATTCAGTAGATTAATCCACTGATGTGTATAGCACTCCCATGATACAATCACCTTCCAAAAGCCCAACCCTGGAGCACATGAGCCTTTGGGGGGACATTCAAGATCTAAACCACAACAAGCCCTGTTTTAATAAATGCATGTTCTGATCAAATGATTCTATAGCATGGAGCCATTGGGGAATTGCCCTCCATTCTTTAATTCTGTTTTCTTCCAGTATCACACGTTGCGATTTCCAGGGTCAGTATCTGTGAAGGGGAAGGGATGAAGGTGGGATTAGAATGAGGGAGAAGTTGAGCTGTGACACAGTCATAATGCCCCAGCCAGCCCTACAGGGACCTCTGCAGCTGGGATGACCCTTCAGAGCAGGCTCAAGATGGCACAGAAGTGCAAGACCATGATACCCCCATGTGCACCAGTCTGGGAAGGAACATAACCCCGGGTGAGGTGGCTCCCTTTAGCTGAGGCTCTCTCTAAATAGGCTGCCAGCTACAGGCTGCATGACAGTAGCATGCCCGGCCTCTGACCGCAAGTCTATTGCTGAGGGAAAATCTAGGGAGTTCGCTACGGTGTCCACCACAGGCAGGCTCTTAATTTTGTTTGAGTTATTTATTTACTCATTTCTAAGGTGGATTTGGGTAGTTTTTGTACTGTTTTGCTTTATCTTGCTCCTGCTTAGTCAGCTTTATCCAGACTTTTACCTGATAAGGTGGGGCGGAGATGTCCCTTATGTCTCTGCCCACTTCCCAGAATAATTTGAGCCTAATTTCCTCACATTCTATTTTAGTGTAAGCCCTTAGGTATTTTGTGTTCATCCATTTTTCTGAAGAACTAGGGGTGGGGAGGGGTGAAGCTCTCTCCCAAGGTGCACCATCTTGGTCCTCACACATTCTGTGTTAGTTTCCCAGGGCTGCCCCGGTAAGTTAGACCACAAGCTGCAGGTCTAAATAACAGATATTTATTGTCTTACAGTTCCAGAGGCTTCCAGAAGTCTAAGGTCAGATGTCAGCTGAATCTTTATTTCTCTATCAATGTAGGAATGAAACAGTAACCAAAGACACTCTCTTTTAAAGACAGAAATATAGCACATTTCTATTTCTCCTTGTTCTTACTTTTTGTCTCTATCCTTTTACATTTCCCACATTCTTGTTTTTATGGATGTTCTTAAAGATTGATATTTTTAAATCTTTCCACTTTTCAAAAAAAAGAATTAAAAAATTTTACATTAAATTGCATAACTGCTTTAGCAAGTATTTATTTTATTTTAACTACATTTTGTTGGCCTTATAGCTTACCATAACTTCTTTGCTATCATATCTTTAATTTCTGGCATTTAGATTCCCTTCTTAATTGAGAACATTTCTGTAAGTAATTTTTTCAGAAAAGAGGCATGGGTGGCAGTTTCTGGATCCTTGCCTAGCTAAGAAAGTTTTTCTGTGGTTATATCACATGGTCAAGAGTGTGAATGAGTGAAAAATTCTTAGGTTATAATCTTTTCTGCCTTTTCACCCTCAGATACTACTCTTGGGATTTTGTCATTAAATCCTGTCATTTACTCTGAGGACCACCAGGCTTTGCCCTTTGTCCCTGGAAATATCTAAGAAAGAGCTCTTCATTAATTTTCCCTGATTTTCTTTTCCCTTATAATTGGGCAACTCAGGCCTTTCTTCAACTCAGAAATGTTTTCTTCTATTTTTCTATAGTGCTTGTCTCTCCTGGAGTTCTAATCAAGTGGATTTATTTTCGGTAGTATCTAAACTGCTGCTTTTATCTCTACTGTGTAGTTAAATTCAGTTTCTTTTCCATCTCCAGTAGTTTTCTAATTTCACATATTAATTTCCATCATTTCTGGATCCTGTTATATTTATGTACATCATTTTTAATTTCATCTATGCCCTAAGTTTTCTTCTGTTTCCTATTGTCATCTTGTGTTTAGTGAGACTATTTCTCAAGTTTAATCCAATTTTTTTCTGAGCAGCTGCATCATTTAACTTATCCTATGACTTTTCTCCATTCCTTCATCTTCATCAAAGAAGGCCTACATGCCGCCAGCTTGAGATGAGTCTGACAGAAATCAGGGGTCCCTGAACATTTTCAGTTGCATCCAAGAAGCAGAAGGGAAAGTTTAGGTTTATTGTGATTCTACCTTTTCAAGTTCCAGGTCTCATCTGTGGACAGAAAGGCTACCTGGTGGCTAACAGTTTCTCTAATCCTTTCTTTAATTGTCCTGGGATTCTGCCTTAGGGGATTCTATACCTAGAAACCTTCTTAACGGCTTTGGAGCCTGCTCCTCTCTGCAGGCCCCACCACCACAGCCCGGAATATTAGGGTCAGTCTTGGGGGTCCCTTAATACTCTCAAAATGGAGTTTTCCTTTGCAAGCAGCTAATGATGTTCCTTCCTCAAATCAGTCACACCCACACCCCACTGTGTAAAAAACGCTTTCGCATTATAAGACTGGGAATGAAGTTTTTCCCTGGCTTCTAAATCTTGGATAGATTCTTTCCCATTATTATATTTCTTTAGCCATTTCACCTGGAAGTTAGATATGGAGTTATTATTATACTTCATGGCTTTTACTTTCATTGCAGGTTAGAAATCTACCCTGTGATCCCTGTTCTGGAATTCAAGATGATGCTCATGTAAAAATAGTCCATTCACTTGTCTAGTAGCTGTGCTTGATCTATACCCTGATTTCCAGAGCACATAACTGTTGTTCATGTGTCCCAGGGGTACAGTGAACAGTGATGGCAAGGATTCTTCAATAGTTTATTGTTTTTTCTCTGCAGAGGGCCCGGCGGGCTGTGCTGCCCAAAGAAGATGAAGGATCAGGGACGGGACAACCAGTAACTGATTTCACCAAGAAAGAAGGTAATGAGAACATGCCTCTTCACCCAGTTCTGCCATGTCCCAGGGAAGAGATCACCCTGGATGCCTCATCACTGTGAAGTCTCTGTGTTGCTAGAATTAAGAACTAGGCCAAGAAAAGGCAAATAAAGGCCTCTGCACCATGCCAGGATTGTAGGGGGAGAGAGGAGCATAAAGCATGGTCCTGAGCTTATGAACTCTCATCTCTGTGATGAAAAGTGAGTTCTTGCCCTGTCTATATCACTGTGTGGCCTCCAAGCTGTGGTTTTCTCATCTGTACAATGGGATAATAGCCTGCTGGGCTTGACGATCAGGGCTCCTCTAGGAGTAAGGGGGAAAAGAATGTGAGGATACTTTGTGCAGTTAACAGTGTTCATAAATGCTTCACTCTCCAACTCACTCAGCCAAAGCCAAACCTGCTCAGCCACAGTCCTGTGCCAGCTGCTAGGGTCACAGAGACAAACCATCCCTGTCTTCTTGGACCTCCTGGTCTAGTAGGGAAGCATCCAAGGAAGAAAGTGATGAATCCAAGAGAGGGTCAACGAGGGGCTGGAGGAGCTCAGAGGATGTGGGGAGATGGAAGAGATCAAAGAGAACTCCTGGACCAAAGGGAATCCATGCTGTGCCCAGGCGTTCAGGTTGGGTTTTATGCTGGAAGGCATTCCAGGGACAGGGGACAATGGGATGAAAGCATGGTGGTAGCATCTCAGTGACGCGCTCAGGCTGGCTGGTATGAGGCTGGGGAATGTATGTATCATCAACTGCTATTACTACAGATTCTCTGGGCAGATAGATCCAACACTGGATGTGGTAGGTCTGTGGCTCACTGTTAAGTTCCCACGTTGTAAAGTAGAATTAGCATTGCTTACAGAGTTCAACAGACATGTTTTGGGTCTGAGCAGTGTGACCCTGGCCAAGTCACTTCACTTCTTTATCTACAAAATGAGTTGGTAAGCCTTCCTCTATGTGTGGAGGTGAAAACTAAAAGGGTTGACGCATATTAAGTGCCCAGCCTGGTAAGAAGTATATACCAAGCACCTAGTAAGTGCTACTCTTCTGCCTTTCTCCAGATTCCTGTCAGCTGGGACACTCGGCAGGTCCCTGCCTGGGGTTGTTCAAGAGATATTTCTACAATGGCTCCTCCATGGCCTGTGAGATCTTCCAATATGGCGGCTGTCTGGGTAATGGCAACAACTTCATCTCGGAGAAGGAGTGCCTGCAGACCTGCCGAACTGTGGGTGAGTATAGTCCCTGCCTCAGTGAACTCTATGGCCTCACTGGCCTATTCTCCCAACAGACTATCTACCAACAGACAGAGTTAAGAGAGCATGTCCCCTGTAGAATTCCAGGGCAAATTTCTTGATGTCAGAAGACATAGACATGGATATGGATGACCTGAGGCCGACCACTTCCTTTCTGTGGATCTTAGTTTCCCAATCTATAAAAGATATTCTAGGTGATCAGGGTCCCCTGGCTCAGTAATTACATGCATCATCTATCCCCTGTGCCTCTCTCTACCCACAGCGGCCTGCAATCTCCCCATTGTCCATGGCCCCTGCCAAGGCTCGACCCAGCTCTGGGCATTTGACGCCGTCCAGGGGAAGTGTGTCCTCTTCACCTATGGGGGCTGCCAAGGCAATGGCAACAAGTTCTACTCGGAGAAAGAGTGCAAGGAGTACTGTGGTGTCCCTGGAGATGGTAGGAGGCCCTGGGGGGGCATGGGCTGGCCTATGGGGCTGCCAGGATCCAGCTGGGAGAGCCCAGCTGGTGGGTGGGGTCTGGAGAGCTCAGTTCTAGACTGTGCACCTGGTGAGCAGCCCATTCATTCTTTGGGCCTCAGCTTCCCATTTGAAATGGGCCAAGCCCTAAGCCTTCTCCCAGCTGGAATTGGGCTTCTGAGATGCCAGCTGGGCACCACCAGAGGGTGTACAGGGCAGGCTGAAGAGCTGGGCAGAGCTGGGTGCCCATTCTGGTGCTGCCACCTTCAGGCTGGCCATGTAGGGCAGTGGGCGATTTCTGCCTTCAATCATTTCTTTTGTAAAATGAGACAAAGTGCCATGGCCACAGAGTTAGTACTCAGGTAATAGCAGTTCTCCCAATAATGACAACAAGGGAACAACAGCCATTTAAGATTTCTGTGTCTTGATCTACTCTGTGAAAATGGTATTTATTTTGTGGACCGCCCTTTGGTGAGAAGTCATTCAGCAAGTGGCCTGCCCTCCTCCAGAAGGTCCCCCATCCCAAGCGTCCCCACCCACAGGCCACTCCCTGAACCTCTCTGTGTCCACAGGAGATGAAGAACTGCTTCGATTCTCCAACTGATGGCTGGAGGGTGGCCGCTGTTCATGCTGGAGCAGGCTGAGCCAAGTGACCTGGGTCCAAATAAAACCAGACTGTACATTGTTGGAGTTCCTTATCATTCATTGTCATCCTGAGTGTAACAAGGTGAGGGATGGGAAAGGAAGAAGCTTAAGGGGTGGGCCAGCATGAGTCCCCAGAGGTAAAAACGCATGATTGGAAATGTAAGTGAACTACCTGCAGCACATGACATTGGCTATGAAGTGTGAAACACATCAGTTTGTTATTCCACAGTAGTGTAGGAATTAATCTGCTTTGTTTCAATACAGCTAGAAAAGAAAGAAGAGGAAATTCTGGGCACTTGTTTCTGGGAGAGGTTGGACCCAGGACATCATCGACCCAGGGTCAGAACAAACACTGGTATCCTAGTGTGGCAAGGAGGCTCAGGGAACACTCACAGTGCCTGCTCATTCTCCTTTCCTCTCCAGGGTTTTCCTTTGGCCCTTGCCCCATCTATGTCCCCACCCTGGAGATGAAATGCCTTGGCTCTTTCTCTACCTTGTCCTGAGATGTCCACCTCCTGGAATCCGCACCCTGGCCCCTTGCCTGGGAAGGAGACTATTCACTGGCCTTCCAGTGTGTCCAGGATGGGGAGCTGGACCCAGAACGGAGGCTGCAGTCCCCAGGCTGGGCTGGCTTCTCCCTGTCTGGGAAAGAGAGTGGGTGAGCTGTTCAGGGGCACAAAAGGACTAAGATGACTTGTGAGTATGCCAGGAGCCTCCAATTTACACACTGGATTGATAAGCATCTGATTTGTGAATATCTCTGGCTAACTGCATCTACCCAGAGTCCTCAAGGCTGCTGCTGCTGCAGTGGAGGGGCAAAACCCCAGCTTCGGGTGTTTGGAGATGGAAAGCTGAAACCAGGGATGGCCCATACTCTGTGCAGTGACCAGCATCCTAAGAGCAGGTGGCCAATTCAGACAAGGGCTTGAGACCTGACAGGAAGGAATTTCATAGTTCTTGGATGTGGATATAGAAAACTTTCTAGCTCAGTCAGACACATGAAGACCTCCATTGGTCTCATCCAGAGTCCTGAGCTTGGCCGCCAGTTTTCAACAGGGACTGTCCTTGGGGCAGCATTCGTGGTCATGGTCAGGACTCCCTGGGCAGAAGTGGGTGGGACAGGAGCAGAGAAAGAAAACCAGTCCAAAAGAAGCAAAAGTTCCTCAGCCCGGGACTAACCAACATTGTCCCAGTCCACATCCATCCTGCCGCCTGCACACAGGCCTCCCACGCCAGGGCCAGCTGTCGATGGTAGTTTGAAGAAGCTACTTTGAAATGACCCAGACTGAAGGACAAATGGTTAACCACAAAGTGCAAGCTTCAGGTGCCCAGTCAGCTTTCACCGGGGTGGGATGTTGGGCGCCCTTTTTGAACAGTTCTGAGTTCCCTACTTAAAAACCAAGCTGTCATGTGAAAATCTGGGCTTTTCTCTTCTCGTGAGAAGCAAGAGGATCTGGTAGCCTTGGCTGCATCCTGCAGCCCCAGTTGGGCAAGAGGGCCCCTTTAGAGACCTCACCAGAGGGCTCACTAGCCTTGTCCTCTACCTGTCTGGTCCCTGAGGCATTTGCTCCTGTGACACTTATAACTTTTCACTAAAATTAAAAACAAACAAACAATGTATCCTGACTTCACCCCTCAGTGGTGGGATGGGTTCACATGACCTGTGTCTCTGTCGCAGAAAGCCACAATGCCCACTTCTCACCTCAGAAAGCACTGGGAGTCATTCTCTGCCTGGGGGGGACCCTGAAGACTCAACTGACCCTTTTTTTTTCTCATTTGATTCTCAAATAGTCTCACCTCCATTTTCTTTTAATGGTACAGGTCACATTTCCCAACAAGTACCCATGGCTGCTTAGTAAGGAAACACTTCTTTCTTTTTCTATTTGAACACAATATTGTAAGACCCAGGGGCTGGCCCTTCAGCAGCTAGAGCTCACGGGCTATGCCCACCCTGGCCTTACTTGGTTCAAGAGTGTGGGGGAGTCTTTTGGGCCACAGCCCCTCCTTTTTGTTTTAGATGCAGAACCAATTGTGCATCTGGAGGGTGGTCTGGAGGGCAGAGGGCAGATTGTCCAATGGGCAATTTGACTGGATTTTTCCAGGTGAACCAACCAGCACATCCTCTTAAGGACAAGTTACCTCTAGGTGGTCAGAGATTTTGGCGGAGTAAGGGCATCGGTGGGTGGGGGGCTGGGAGCCACAGGCAGGCTGAGGAACTGTCGGCCTCCTCTCCTGCGCCAGGTGCAGCTGGTGTCTGGTGGAGTCTCCTGTCCTACCATTGGCCTTTGGTCTGTGTCTGTGACGTGTTGGGCTCTGAGCAAATGTCCTGGGCTAGTCTCCCATAGCTCATGATGGAGGGCACTGATTCTTAAAGAGTCCTGGATGCCACTAGGAATTGGGCAAAAGCCATGGACACTCTTCCCTGGAAAATGGACAATACATACAGCAGTCATGTCAAGCACACATATCATTCAGGAGGTCCAAGCTGCTGGGTATCAGGGCTTGAGTCACTTGAATGACTGCAGGGCCGAGGCATACTTGGATGCGTGCCTTTAGACACTGGGCCTGCAGGACTCAGATTAAGCTCATCCCTTCTGCCCTGAGGCAGACTCCTCAAGCAGGTGCACAGGGCCCACATCTTCCTGGGCCACAGCCCCCCCCATGTATCAAACACTGGCTGAGGCAGGTCTGCTGCTGGAGATGATCGATGACTCACAGATAAGGAGCCACATGCCCGACCTCAGTGTCCCCTCCTCATCCAGCTCCTGTGGGTGCCCTGCTAACTGGGTGGCAGAGCCCAACCCCAAACCCAAGAAAAAAACACTGCACACTGCATCTTCCTAAAGTTCATTTTATTGTAAAACCATAAATACAACACTGACATGAACTCATTTAAGCAACTGATCCTCTCTATCCATTAAAAGGATGTCTTTTTGCCTTGGCATCAACCAACTGGGAAATAATGTTCTGAGAATTCAAGGGGGCCAGGGGGATACAGAATCCTGGGCTGGGGCTTTTGGCGACTTAAGGAACCAGGTGGAACTCTCCTCTTCTCCCAGAGAATGTCCCACTTTTGGACACGAACAGACAGGTAAAAACAGCAACATTTAAACAGCTCAGTTTTAAATTTTATTACTTTATAAAATTTTTTTCCAATCCTTTCCTCCATTTGACATCAGTAGAAGTTTTAAACATCATGAAACTGATTTGGTTGTAAATGGAGAAACGGTACCAAAACAAAATGAAACAGAAACCCAAAGGACACACACGAAACCCTAAATAAACCCTCAAGTTTGGTCTCGGGGGTTTACATATCACAAGAACCGTCAACTCAACCCCCATGCAATGTGACTCCTCGTGAACTGTTGGACCCACACCAACAAGAAAGGAGACCGCCAACAACATCTTTTGTTAACACAGCGAGTGTGACACTAGGTAACTTTTTTTTTTAAATACAGTACATGGTACACAGGGTCCCCAGATGGCCCTGCATAAACCCCCGTGAAGACTTGAGCCAAGCACTGGCTGTTTATAAAAATATTGTGTTGCTACAAAAGTATAAATTAATGCTACCGGTATTAAGAAATATTAAACACATAAAACTTATAAGGATTAAGAAAAATATTCATTAATACCTGTAGAAAACTCTGGCCTAAAAAAGATATTTTTTTGTGTTTGTTTTTTTGTAAATTTTTTTTGTTTTTTGTTTTTTTTTTTAAGATGACTTGAGTTTCTTGCACTCGAAGAGAGAGACACAGTCAGATGTGCCTATGGTATTGCCTAGAATGTCTTAACTACTGAAGAGGGGTGGGGAGCACACATGTGGATACTGACTGGGGGCAGGCGGGAGCGGGCACCAAGGCGTTCTCAAGATTTACCTGATGTGAACAAATCACCGACGTGAAGTTGTGGGGCAAAGTAAAAGGTGGGATCAGAAAACTGAAAATAATTTACGCTTCTTAAAAAATATCTCTGCTTTGGGTGGTTGTACAAAATGATTTCCTGATGCTTGGGATGTGGATGGCCCTGCCGCGGGGCTCTTGCTCTCTCCTGGCTGGCGAGGCCCAGCCCATGTCGGTCCATGAGCTCGCTTGCCCCTTGGGAAGGCACCCACCCTGGCTGGGCAGCCGGAGGTCCTAGGAAGAGACCGGCTGGCACTGGGTTGTGGGAGGAGCCCTTCCTTCCGGCAGGTCTCAGACCGCATGGTCTTGGCCAACCGGGATTTCAGGCTGTGCCACAGAAATCCCAGGCCCCTGAGGTTGAGGACAAGGCTGGGCTGTGCCCTTTTAAGGAACTTTGGTTCGAAGAGTCAAGGTGCCCAGTGGGACGCTTGGGTGGGCAGGACCCTGCTGGGTCATGATGCTAATGCCCGGATGCAAACCTGGCAAATCCTCGGTACAGGAGCTGAATCTTCACAGCATCGCCCGTGGTAGCGGTGGGGGCGGGTGCCTGAAGGTGGCAGACAGTGATTCAGAGCTGCTCCCTCATCCCCGTGGGAGTAGGCGCCTTTTCATACAGAAACCTCAAGGCTCCTTGGGTAGAAGCCAGGGCTCTCCCGACCACGATCTTTAGACCCAAATGAGAGAGGAAGAAAACAACAAGAACAACAAAATCCCCCCCACCCCCAAACCCTGCAAAGGGGAGACCTGGAGGGAAATGTAAGAGGGAAAACACCGTTATCATTGGTTCACCATAACTGGCCTAGCAAACATTTGCCACAGTGAAGAGGGACGGCTCCTTCCTGGATGGACCACAACCCAGCAGGGGGCAGGGCTGGCAGGGCAGGGACCAGAGCCCCCGCTGCTGTCTCTGGGGCACAGCCTGAGCCTCACGCAGTCTCTCGGTTCTGTCCAAACTACAGCCTTCCCAGGAATCCTCCAATACATCCCAGAGATAGTGTCATTGCCACGCTCCCAAGGCCAGGGCGATGCTCAGCATCCAGTGCAGCTTATGAGAGAGCCCAGCCACCATGCCCTCAGCCCCTCCTCTTCAAGCACAGCATGACGATAATGACCCTGCTGAGCATCTCACAGGCTTCTGTTTTCTGTTTGGCCTGGCTCCACTGCAAACCTTCTGGTTACCCTGTGGCCCTAGATAGTACATGCAACACCTCTGACGTCTCTCCAGGTGCCCACTCTTCAAGGAGTCAAGCCCAAGTCTGAGGTAAGGAGGTGTTAAGAACAGGGGGCTCCTAAAGGCAGAGGTTTTAGCTTCACAGTGGCTAATCTGTTGTTTCTAGAAAGTGCGAGAGCTTAACAGCTCAAACTGACAGAGAAGCCAAAATTCCTTCATGGACTTCTGGAGATCCATGACTTCCCATTCATGCCACGGGGTGCCCTTCTCTCTTTGCCAGGAAACCTCGGTGCATTCTCCCTGATGCCAACCGTGAAGCCATCCAGTGGGACGGTGGGGACATGTCCTAACCTGTGATGTAGCAGGTGGCTTTCTGTGCTGGGAACCCACAGAAAAGAACAGGTAGGTTTGTTCAGATGGCACCAGTTCCTGGTTTCTAAATGCCACCAGGGGGAGACTTGACAGGCTGACCTAGGCATTGGGAACTGTTCTTGGATGCTTGCATCCATCCACAATCAGGTAGACCTGAGAGCCCTGGGATAATGAAAGTCCAAAGAACCACTTACGAGGCTGCAGTCTTTGGCTTGGGCTCTGTTGGTGATCACAGAGGGGGAAAAGCTCTGCTGGGTGGAAGTATACTTCTTCCACCTCCCCCTTGGGTCTGTGGATGTCAAAACAAAGGCTGTTTCTGTCCTGGGAATCATGTAGCCTGAGGCAAGCTGTATCCAAGTCAGCAGGGAGAGCCACCTTTACTTGAAAAGATATGACAGAAATGGCCCAACTTCCTGGTCTCCTAGCTCCCAATAACCTGTGGTGGAGACCTATGGTAGTCAGAACTGTGGGGCAGATGACAAATTCTGAAGGTCAAGGCCAAGCTAGGCACCAGGAGATGAACTGGAAAAGCCCATCTCAATCCTTTGGATGAGCTGGAAATTTGGTAAGGTGGATATTGCTGGAAATAATGGGGCAGGTGGCTGACCTGTGAGATCTTTGGGTTTTGTTAAGCTGCATGTCATAGCAGGATATGCACTGTGGGAAGGGTCTGGATGAGAAAGCAGGCTGAGAAGGTACCTGGTACAGCCTTTTCTGTTGGTGACACCAGTTTCTGGGGAACCAAGGTCACAAGGGAGAAATGACTGCCTGCCACTGTTAGCTATGTGGACAGGAGACAGCTTTCTGAGGACCTAACAGCATTTACACCAAGCCTGCAGAGGCAAGCTGAGCCTACGTATTGAACTGAGGTGTAAAAGAACTGGATTATTGGAGGTGACAAACTAATTCCAGATACTTCCAGTAAATGTGACTTACTCTAATTTTCATTCCAGAGGGCAAGCATCTCATGCTCTAACTGCGTATCTAAGTGTGCCTGATGGTTTTGCAATTCATTGGCCTAGTAACAGCCCCGTCAGCATAACTGGCTCTGCTTTCACTGACATCCCAATAGTCAGCTCCTATCCTTCCAGTGCCAAGTTGTGATTGTCCCATCCAGCAGTCAAGCAAGATTAGTAAGAAGCATCCGTCAATCATCAGTAACCCGGAGCCCACCTTCCAGAATGTCCAAAGGTCTGATCAAAATCTGCCGATGCTTCATATTCTCTAGGAAGCAACATTTGGTTCCTGTCTAGGTTCTCCCTGTTCCTGCTCCACTGTGGACGGAGGCTCTTCCAGTGGTGGTAATGAGTTGGAAATGTAGAATAAATATCTAGAACTTCTTCTCCAGGAGAGGAGCCAGCCTGTGGTTCCTGAGACCATGGCTTGCTGAAGCGATTGTGGAAATGGCCCACTCTGATCCATTTCAACATGTCCAAGACTGCAGGGAGAGCTGGGTTAGTTTCATGAGGCAAAGTGTACAGTGTTCTGGGCCCAGGATCATGATGCTTAAGCCTTTTTGAGTTTTAAACCAACTTTACTCCCCTCCTGCCAGGGCCCCAGGGCAGAGTGCTATGGTACAGTGCTTTTTGTAGTCGAGGTATCTCACAGTTGAGTAATGCTTTATTACTGGGGAGGGGCCCACTTAGCCAACCCCCACAATGGCAGAAGATGCCCCTGCAATCATGGTGGTCATTCTCAGCCTGCAGTGCAACCATCCCTACCCCACAGCCATAGACAACCAAGGGACAGGGGACTACCAGCTCTTTATTCACTTGGGTGGGGTGGGGTTGAGAGCTGATCTTCTTGGAGAGAATGGGTTTTTCTCAGCAGAACCTTGGTTGCTCATGGCTGGGGGATCAGGAGAGGGGCCTAAAAACCCCTGTCACAGCATCAAGTCGAGGGAGGGAGTCCACCCTCAAAGCATCAACTATTCAGCCCACAATGCACCGAGCTCAACTGCTGTCCTGGTTGGACGTTGGAGGTGCCTGTAGGGACCCCTGAGGGCTATGAACTGCCTGAACCCTGGGAAGGGAGGAGAGAGTGGGTCTGGGGTTTGGTGGATGTGAATACCCATCAACTCGGGAGCCCTGAGGGGCCGGAAGGGTGGGGGATGTGGTGAGGAGCGGAAAGCACTCTGGGAACAGAAGCCAGATGCTCACGGTACTGTACCAGACACAGCCAACCAGGCTGTGGCTCTTCTGCTTACATTCAGGAGAACCCCAAGTGCTGCCCATATGGCTTCCACCAAACCCCACATCTGAGGAACCCACAAACCCTCCCTGTCCCTTGGTCTCCAGACAGCACAGTCTTGTCTGTCTGAATACAGGAAAACTGGACTGTATGGGGAAGGCTGATAAAAACCTTAGGGTGCTGAATATACCACTGAGATGAGCTAGTTTACAGTGTGACTTGAGGAACAAAAAGGGCAAGTAAAAAACCCAAACACTCCAAAACATAACTTAAAGACATTCAGTGCCTCCTAGCAGAGTCTAACTCATATTTGAAAAAATAAAATGAACCCCCAAAAAGGTAAAAATTGCTAAAATGTTAGGAAAAAACTTATTGAGTGGAGACAGTTATCTATACTTCTCTGAAAAATGTCTTTTTTTTCTCTTATATTAAAAAGCAAAATGTCAGCTTTATATTCTTAAAGTCTCCTTTCCTGATTTGGGGAGATAGATAGGTGTGTTTCTAAGGCGGCTGCCTGGAGACACCCAAGGGTGACCACAAAGGCAGCAGCTCAATGCCCTGAAGGTGAACAAGAAACAAAGTCCAGTGCAGAAACTGTCCATTGGATGCAGTTTGGAGAATCCATGGCAGCTGGGGCAGGGGGAGGGCACTGTGGGGCTTGGGGGGCTGGAGGGTGGGGGCAGCAGGGGTGGAGGGCAGGGCGTGTCAAGTCACTTCAGATCTCAGCTGCCTGAACATTTCACGACATCAGTTTCTCCCAATCTGCACACCTGAAAAATGGAGTCTTTAGAGCCCCTTCCCGAGAAAAGGTGAAACTTCTCTCCTTTCCCAGTCACTTGGCTTTCCTGACACACCCAGCCCAATGCACCAGGGTCGTGTGTGTGTGTGTGCACGCATGTGGAAGGTCCTCTGGCTGCACAGATGAGCACAAAGCCCCCACACCCATGGCATGTGTGTTCAGACACGTGCACATATGTGGGTATAGACACACATGCACACACACACTGAAAAAAAGCACTTAAGTTTCCAGGGGGCATTTAGAATGAGGTCCACAGTGTTTAGAACTTAAATTCCTTTTCTTTGTTTGTGACAGTGTTGTGTTTTTTTCTAATGTTCTTCTTTTGTTTTGCTTTGTTTTTCTGCTTTCCCGAAGTAAAGTCTTAAAGCATGTTGGATTTCAGAAACATGAGTTTGTTCATGTCTTCTGGACTGAGCAGTCGCCTCCTTTTAATGAGAAGTGCTTGTTCACACATATTTACACATCCGCTTCTTGCCCCAACAGCTGGGACTGCCAGGAGCCAGAAGGCGAGCTTGGCGAGTTTTGTGTGCTTTTGGGTCACGCATGACCAGTACTGGAAGAGATCTGGGGTGGCCTGGAAGAGGGGCTCCTGCAGGTAATCGTACACTTCGCTTTTCCCCAGGCGATCATCGTCCTGAGCTGTGGGGTGCTCGCTGGCGGCAGTGCGAGGCTTCTTGGCGGCGGGCTCGAAGTCGGCCTCCTCCGCCCAGGACTCCTTCACCTCGTTGATGAGCTCGCAGACCTTGCCGATGATCTCCTCGTGCTGGTAGGGTGGCACAGGCCGAAGCTTCTGCTGTGGGTCCAGGATCATGGCCACCTTGTGGGCTGGGTGCACCTTGAAGTTCTCCTTGAGCGCCTCTAGGAAGAGGTGACACAACTTGCTGACGGTGCCCGCATCGTTGGCCTTGGCTGTGAAGAGCTTCTCCAGCCGGACATAGGTAGGCAGTACCAGCTGCAAGGTGGGCTGGCTCTCATTGCTCAGCTCGATGACAGCCTGCTTCACAGGTGTGAGGATGGCCGCCAGGTTGCTGAGCAGGTGCTTGTTGAGGCTCTGGATGAGGTTCATCTTCTTGGCTCGGCTGTAGAACTCACAGATCTGCTCATAGCGCTCATGCACTAATAGCAGCGAGTCTGTCACCGAGTTCCAGCAGGGTGGTGGTGATGTCTCCTCCAGAGACCCAAAGGTCTCCTTGGCAAGGCCTGTGGAGCCTGCTAGGTCCTCGCACACGTTCAGCAGCTCAATGACCTCGTGCATGCTGCGGGCCTGCAGCGTCCGCTTGCTCAGCACACTCTGCACCACTGAGTTCAAGGCACAGGCTGAGCAGCGAAGGCACATGCCGGCCTTGGAGAAGGCGGATGCACTCACCCGGCAATCCGTCACATACACTGTCCTGATCTCTGACATCACAAACTCTGACAGCACGTTTTGCACCCAGTGGTGCACCAGGTCACCACTGTCACGAATGTCTGCACCCTTTACCCCCAGGACATAGCTCTTGATGTGGTTACCCTCTGCCTGGTAGGCTGTGAGGATGTAGCAGGAGTCAGGGCCGACACTCTGAGAGTGGCAGGTGACACCAATGCCCAGGCAGGCATTGCTGCCCAAGGCACACGTCACCTTCACCTTCACCTGGTTGTACATACGTGGCAGGTGCTTTAGTGCCAGCGTGTTGAAGTTGCCCAAGATCTCAGTGACTGAGAAGGCTCCATAGCGGGCACCACTGTCTACCAAAGTCTGGGCGAACTTGAGGAACTCCTTCCCGCTGACCACACTCAGGGCACCCAGGTCAGCACACATGACCCGCAACAGCCGCTCTGCGATGTTCTGCCGCTCCTTTTCAGGGATCATGCTGTTGAGTGTTAAACCACTGGTCGTGGCTGGCAGAGAACACAGAGAGATGTGATTAATTCTCGTTGTTCTGCTTGGTCTTGCAGCAGCCTAATACTCTAAACATCTAGATTAGATTAGGAATGACAAGCAGATTTTATCTTGCACACAAACTGGTGGTGCTGGCTATGTTTAACATGAAATGGTCTTATAGGGATAAAGTTTTATGGTTGATTAGTAATGTCTGCCAGGGGCATGGGAATAGCATAGTGATATGTATGCAACATATTTTCCATATGTGTCATTCATTTAGACCTTTGAAGACAGTATAGGAATCAGCACTAAAAGAATCTTTAGTACAATGTATGAAGCTAGTGTTAGGAAAATGCCAAAAGAAATCGTGGAAAGGTAGATTCTATTCTGATTCTAACTGGTACTTTCTGACCAGAAATATTACCTCCTCTCCCTGGGCTTCCTGCCCATCCTGCCTATTAGGAATTTCTCAAAATGAGGTCTTTAGTGTAAGTACGCTTTGGAAACTGTTGTGCACCACCATGTGTTGCCATAGGAGTCTCAGGCAGTAGGAATGGTGGGGAGGAAAAACTGGAGCAAAACTGGCAGGACCTCTGTGACGCCCAGCCCTGCTGAGGAGACCTACTGTTATTGGCACTGTTCCTCTGGCCCTGAGGTTTCCACTTCTCTTCCACGACAGCAGGTGGCGATCGGGACTGGTTGGGGGTGATGTTGTTTTCATTGTCAGCTGTGGGCACAATAGGAATAGTGTGTTACTCTGAGGAGAGAAAGGCTGGTGACAAACAAGACGAGAACCAGTGTGGGGGTACAAGTGAAATGTGACCCTTGGGACTCAAGTGTGTGTTAAATCTTGGGTTTTCCTTACATAACTCTCTGTGCTTACAAAGCCTCATCTTTATCATTTGGGAAAATGGGGACAACCACACTGCCATCAGACAACACCTGGAAGGACTCTGGAGATGACACAGGAAGGGCTCAGCACAGTGCCTGGGGCAGAGGGGCTCTGAGCTGGTGGGAGTCACCATATCCTGAGCCTGGGCTGGCATCCCACACCTACACCATCATAAAGCTATAGCTCTGAAATGGAGTGGCCAAAAGCACCTCACACTCTCCCCCTTCTTTAAAGTGTGCTTTTTGCCTTTTCAGTATATTTACCAGAAATTTTATGAAAGGAACAAAATGAAGCCAAAGCTCTGCCTATATGATACAAAGTACTAAATCAACAAACCCTTTTCTGTAAGATGTGAAAATTATTGGAAAACATTTTCCAAGATCAGAGAGAAAATGGTACAGAGCTGGGACACAGACTTCAAAAACATGAGGAGCCAGGCAGAGTGGGTTTCATAGCTATGAAACTACATTTGTCACAGATTGGAGGCTGCTCCATACTTGTTCTAGTCTTTTAAGAACAGGCCTCAAAAACACAAAGGGCATCTTAAGTAAATAAACTGCAGACAAAGAAATACAGTGCAAGTAGTAGAGAAGTATGACCAGGAGAACAACCAATCAACGGAATTAGACACAGAAGTGACAGAGATGATGGATTAGCTAATAAGGACCTTAAAAACAGCTGTTGTAAGTATCATAAATACGTTCAAAGATGTGAAGGAAAACACAAACATCATAAAGAGAAAAACGCTGGGCTGGGGATTTAGCTCAGTGGTTCCTCCACCCGCCTCACAAGCACAAGGACCTGAGTTCGATCCCCAGTACCAAAAAAAAAAAAAATAAAGAGAAAAATGTAAAATGTAAAAAAACAAAAACGGTTCAAACCAGAACTAACTAACCCAGGTGGAACTAATGTGTAAAAAAATTTATACATACACATACACATATATATGAAAAAGGCTGGAAAAAAATGAACAGAGCATGGACATATCAGGTAGTTTAATACACTCATAAATATAAACATAAAATGGGAATCTGATAAAAAGGAGTGGAGCAAAAACAATATTTGAAGATACAGTCAAAAATTTTCAAATTGGACAAAAAAAAGATTCAAAAAGCTCAATGTACCCCAAGCAGAACAAACATAAATAAAACAGCACTAATACACAGCATCACACTATTAAAGAATCAAACTGCTAAAAACCAATGAAAAGAAAAAAATAATCTTAAAGGAAGGGGGAAAAATTATGTACCTATAAACGAAAACAATGACAACAGACTTTTCATCAGAAACTATGCAACCTGGAGGCAAGAGAATAAAATACTGAAAGAAAATGTCAGCCTAGAAGTCTACATCCAGTGATAGTATGTTTCACACATGAAGATGAAACAGACTTTTAAGACAAATATTGGACTTGCATTGAGAAATATTAAAGAAGTTCTTGAGGTCTAAGAAAAATGATATAAAATAAGAATCTGGAACTTCAGAAAGAAAAGTAGACTGTTTGAAAAAACTCCGTATATGTAGATAAATATTTTTTAAAACTCTACCTTCATTTGTTTTTTGCTTAAATTCTTTAATTGGTACATTTTAGATATACAATAAGTTTACATTTATCACTGGGTGCTTGTACCTGTACATGATGTATCTTGGTTCTTATTTTTTCCCCATTCCCTGTCTTCCCTTCATCCCCTCCACCCTTCCCTATTCACAAAGACTGTGTTTCCATTTTTTCCTTTTCTTATAATTTTTCCTTTTCCTTCTTTCCTTTCCCCTTCCCCTCCCACTTCCCCTACCCTTTTGGACCTTTTCTTCTTACTTCAAATTATCAATTATTCATTTTAATCATTTTAATCCTTATTTAAACCTTCAGTTTCTCACACCAGAGAAACTATTTGGTATTTGGTACCAGGGGTCGAACTCAGGACCTTGCGCTTGCGAGGCAGGCAGCAGAACCACTGAGCTAAATCCCTGGCCAGAAACTATTTGGTATTTACACATGTGTGTCCTATTTATTTCACTTAAGAGTACGGCCTCAATATGCATCCATTTAGCTATAAATGTCTCTAGTTTCTCATTCTTTATGGCTGAGTGGTACTCTGTTTTATAAAAAAAACCCACATCTTCTTTATTCAGGTTCCAGTAGATGGGCACTTGGGCTGTTACCAAGCTTTTGCTATTACAAACTGTGCCGCTATAAACATGGGTGCACATGTATCACTGTGGTATGATTCTTTTAATTATTTTGGGAAGATACCCAGCATCTACCTTCATTTTTAATCACTTTTAAATATAATTTCTCATTAGAAAACAGCTTCAAGAACTATGGCAATTATATGTAAAGGTATGCTGTATAATAAGATCAGCAGGACCAGGAAGGGAAATTTGAAGACATTGCTGAAAGATTCTCACACAATACGGAGAGTAGACTAATATTAACTGGAGACAATCAATTCAAAATATATAGTTAAAAACCCAAATAAACCAAACTACAGCAAGGATAAGCTAATTGTTTAAATAGAAATGGAATCCTAAAAAAATTCTCAGTCCAAAATAAGGTAGCAGAATTAGAGAAAAGTGGAACAGAGAAAAATGGAACAAATAAAAAAGCAGATGAATACCCAACAAGCAGAAAGATGGAAAATTTACATGCAACAATACTGAGATTTCACAATAAATGCAAATGTCTCAAAATTGAATGGGAAACTCAGATGCATTGAGAAAACAAACAGACAAGATCCAATACTATATTTTTGAGATGAGTTAAGAGTAATAAGCTGAATAAAATACTGTATACCATGGACAGAGTAATAAAAAGAAAGTTGGCTATGTGGGTCACATTATTTTGTAAAACTAGACCTCAGAATAAAAAATATTACCAAGGATAATAAGGGACCCTTCATAATGATAAAGAGTCAAATTATCAAGAATATAAAATAATCCTAAATGTACATGCAGAGCTTTAAAACATGTTAAGCAAAAATGGAGAGTCAGACAAAAATAGAGACAATGCACAATTGTAACTAGAGATCTCAACTTTACCCTGTCAGTAACTGTTACTGAGAAAAAAAAACCTGATCATAAATGGACAGACAGCTGGGACAGACAGCTGGGTGTGGTGTTGCATGCCTATAATCCCAGCACTTGGGAGGTAGAGGCAGGAGGACTGTCACAAGTTCGAGGACAGCCTGGCCTACACAGTGAGTTAAACAAACAAACAATGAATGGACAGAGAGGGAATGTGAAGCAGTCTAATATATATATAACTGGATTTCCAGAAAAAGGAGATGAGGCAGAAAATATCAAAATCATATAAGGTAGGGACTCTGATCATCAGAGAAATAACAAGTCAACACCAAAAAGATATTTAGAAAAATTATAACTACTGAATATAACATACTTTTAAATAACTCATGGGTCACAGAATAAAACATGAAACTGGGAAAAAGTTTTGAACTGAATGAAAACAAAAACGTTAACATTTCAAAATTTGTGGGTCGTATATAAAGCAAGGCTTATTTGCAGCCTTAAATATTAAAAAAAGAAGAAAGAAGTAAGGGGGGGGAGAAATAATTTAAGTCTAAAGTAAGAAGAAACAATATGAATAAAGGTAGAAATGAAATAGAAAGTAGAAAAATTTAAAAAAAAATCAATGAATGTAAAAGTTGATTCTTTGCAAAAAATCAATAAAATTGATAAGCTTTAGCCAGAGGACACAAACCATCAGTACCAGGAATGGAAGAAAGGCCATCCTTATAGAGGCCAAAGAGATATTAAAGGGACTAAAAATGATTATAAACTTTATGCCAATAAATTAAACAAGTTAGCTGAGATATCTTGAAAGACACAAAGAAATAAAGTTCATTCTAGAAGAAACAGATAATCTGAAATAATCATCCAACTGTTAAATAAATTGAATTCACAATACAATAGAGTCCTACAGGCTCATTAAGGTTTATTAGTAATTCTGAATGAATATTTAAAGAAAAAAATAGTACAAATTCTTCCAGAAAACAGAAGAGGTAAGAACACCTCTGAATTTGTTTTATGAACTTGCCCTTTCCCTGATTCAAAATGAGAAAGAAAGCATTCCAAAAAAGAAGAAAAGAAAAAAAGAAACTTTAGAGCAACATCCCTCATAAACAGGTATGTGCAAATCCTTAATAAAATATTAGCAAACTGGGGACTGGGGGTGTAGCTCAGTGGTAGAGTGCTTGCCTAGCATGTGTTAGTGCCTAGGTCCAATCTGCAGCACCAGAAAAAAGACAGCAAACTAAATATAGCAATATATCAATATATAACACATAAGCCTGCCATAGTGGCGCACAGCTGTATCCCAGAGGACTGCAAGTTTAAGCCCAATCTGGGAAACTTTGCAAGATACTGTCTCAAAACAAAATAATAAAAATGGGCTGAGGAGGTAGTTCAGTGTGAAGGCCCAGCAATCAATCCCCAATACTGCAAAACCAAACCAAACCAAACCAAAAAAAGCAAATCCCTACATTATAGTAAATGGAGTTTATTCTAAAATGCAAGTTGGGATTAATTTGAAAACCTGTCACTATAATTCCTATATTGAAATAATAAATAAGAAAAATAATAGATTATTAGATACTGAGACATACTAAATAGATACTTAATAGACACTGAGACATACTAAAATGTGACAAAATTCAATACTCATTGATGATTCAAATTCTCAGCAAACTAGAGATAAACCTGGTAAAGGGCACCTAAAGAAACACTTAGGCTTACTAATCCTATACAAATAAGAGACTATAAGGAAATACTATGAGCAATGATATTCCAATCGATTAGATAACCTGGATGAAATTTTC